TCCGAGTCGCTGGTCAAGTTACGGCGTGTCAGCGAGAGTGGGAGGCATCAAGGCAACAGTCGGGGAGGACTTTGCGGGTTCCGGCCCCGGAGATCCCAACTTGTAAATCCCCGTGACCTGACCAGCCGGGTGGATACGAGCCGAAAGTATATTTTCGTTAGAAAGGCTTCGCTGACTGAGTAGTATCCACCCGTAGCCTTTCTAACCTCACCCAAACCTTAACAAAGCCTTGCGTCCAACCCTGACTAGCGAGCTGCGGTAGCTCTTTTTGCCCTCCAACGAAAAAAAGGAACACAAAAAAAACGAAACAGGCTACTATTGCTCGAACGGAACCCCAGTAATCCAGCTACTTGTAACTCTTTTTTATACCCTCCGACTTAAACAGTCTAGCTCGAACGGTACCCCAATAATCTAGCTAACTCTTGTTTATTCCCTCCGACTAAAACAGTCTAGCTCGAACGGTACCCCACAAGCCAGCTAAAACTGTTTTTTAGACACTTCGCCTCACAACAGTCTAGCTCGAAGGGTCCCTAACTAGCCAGCTATTTTTTTTTTTCAATTAACACTCCGACCAAACGAAACAGGCTAGCTCGAACGGCGGGCCGGCCGACGGCCCGCCTCCTGGTGTGCCTGGGGGGTTGCCCCAACTTCGGCCCCGGGGCCGTGGCTCCCTGCGTCCCCGGGGCGGCGGCGGCCGAGGTTGAACCGGAGGCGCTGGCCGCGGCGACCGACTACTTCGAAGACCTGGGGGAGAAGGCGCTTTCGCAGGTGTGTTTGTGTGGGGGGGGGGGGCATTTGCTTAAAAATTGGTCCCTTGTTGAAAAATTAATCCCTTGCGAATGTTTGTTTTAAAGTTCATTATGAATGTTCCTTCAAAAATCTATTGTCATACTTGTTTGAAAAATCCCTGGGGAAATTTTTTTTCCTCAATCCATTTGTGATTTTTTTTTGGAAAAAATCCCTGTGAACGTTGGTGTTGCCCAGGCAGTAATCCCCTGTTTTATATCATTCCAAAATAATGGGGCTGGCCAGCTTTCTGAATCCATTGTGAAAATGGTGCCCCTGCCCAAACGGTCACAGCGTGGGGGGGACCCCATTGAAATTCCGTCGGCGTCCCCGTTGGATACATTCTCCTGAAAATAAATTATGGCACGTGCCCCGGATTGGCGGTAGGAAATTATTGTATTTCCACGGAATTAATGAAATAATGGGACAATACGCCCGCACAAAAAC